TTCTTTTCTCTCTCTAACTTTTCTCTCTCTCCCTTAATTAAACTCTTAGTATTATTTTCTCTGTTGTTTTCTCTCTCTCTACAACTCCTGGTTTAATCTCAGCTATTTATTTTCTTTATTTCATCATATCTCCTTTAATTGCTTTGATTAGTTTAGATTTAATTATGTGTGATTAGTTTTATTTCTAGGGTTTGTGGGGATCCATAAATAATATGAAGGGAAATTTGTTGTTGATTATCAATGCTAAATTAATTTCCTATATTGATTGATTTAATGCTCTATGACTAGATTTGCGCAGATCTTTTATGCATGAGTTTAACAATATTGATTCGAGATTCAACAGATGAGAATTGATGTTTAGGTCTAGTTTCAATAGGCAGGTTAATTTATAAATGGTTAAGTCGAGATTCGACAGATGAGATTTAATACCGGTAAATTAATTGTGTGATTGTAATACGTAGCGAAAGCCCTTTATGATCTGATTAATGTATGCACTGATGATTGATTATTATGTTTTACCTTGGAATATTATTTATTGGTGAACCTATACCTTGGAATATTATTTATTGGTAAATTAATTTGGCGTCGTTGCCGGGGAGACGGTTTAATTTTTATTTCTAATTATTATTAGAGTCTAGATTATTTTTAATTTATTTTTTTTCATTATTTTTTTTTTTTAATTTTTAATTTTTTTTATGAGTTGAAAATATCCATGCTTATGTCACTACAAGAATTATATAATTTTTATGCAGCACCTAACTACTGTAGTTGTCAACGTCTTTGTCATGAAAATACTGAATGCCCTTATAGTGAGTGGATGATTTTAGAGTCTTTCCATATACATATGATCGTATTCGGAAACGATTAGTTGCTAATGAAAGTTATTGGAAGGCTCTTGATGAAAAAGTCTATGGACACTATAATAATATGAATGTTATTGAGGATGAAGAAGCATCGGTTATAGAATTTGTGGTTGAAAAATCATTGGTTGACGAATCGGTAATTGAAAAATCATTAGTTGTAGAAACGGTGGTTGAAAATTCCTTTGTTGATAATGAGGATATTTGTAAGGGTGGAATTTTCAAGTCATTATTGGATGATAAAGACAATGACTACCTCCATGTTCGTTCTATTAATTCTAAATTTTTAACGGAGGAAGTGAGTTCTGTTTAAGTGCTCCTAACTTTTTCTTTGTAGGGATAAATGTGCTTGCTATTAATCCCTATATAGTGCTTAATGAAATGTTTGCAGGAGCGTTTGATAAGTTACTCAAGGCATAGAATTCTTCCGATTGAGAGAAGGAGTATGGTCGAGCGGGACCTTGATAAACTAGCGCTTTGCGGGAGACAACCCGTATTTTGTTGCTTTTTATTTAGTTTTTTTTTTTTTTAATTTGTTTGTGTGTTTTCTTTTTGTTTTGTTTTAGAGAGGTAGAGTAGAGTATATCTTATATTTGTGGGAGTGTGATTTTGTGCAGAGATACTAGAAAAGTTGAGAAAAGATCGAAGGGGCTAAAGGAATCTCGGGGCAATTAGCAGCAGCAAGCTACCCGCGTCAAATCAGTAGCACGGGCCCGATCGGGCAGAGCTCGCCCGATCGGGCACGCGTACGTGTCAGCAAACTTTGTCAACTTCGACAGGCCATAACTTTTGCGTTTCTTATCCAATTTTTGCGTGTGACTTTCGTTGGAAAGCTCTTCAAGTCTAGTTTCCAATGCAATTAGAATCACTTTATTATCATTTATATATCAAAAGTTATGATCAGAATAGTGAACCTGACTCAAATTTGGACTTTTTCCCACTAACACTTTGTTTCTTTCTTGCCCAATTTTGTTCCAAAGAGATGCATTGCAATCCTCGAGGCTTTGGTGACATTGATGTGGTGATGACGAAGAGTAGTCACCTTGATTACTAGCTTCCCTTTAAGACAATGAGGATATTGTCTGATTTAGCTTGGGGGGAGGTTCTCGTGTACGTTTAGTATATCTTTCACCCTCTCTCTTTTTATTTTATTTATTTATTTATTTATTTATTTTCCTTTTGGTGTGCTTAGTATAGTTTTTTTTGCTCCCTTAGTTTAGATTTTTATTGCTCCCTTAGTTTAGATTTTAAAAATACATTACAATGATTAATAAATCATGCTTCCCTGTGCCCCTTGATTAAAAATTTTCGAAATTATTTTGATTCTTGGTTATTGATGATAAATATTGTAGATTAGTTGATCATGATTTGATATTTGATTGCCTTGAAACCTTAACATGCGTCAATTTTGCCCAACTATAGTGCTTGACTAGTTGATTTGGTTAGGAAACGTGTGATAGTTCCGTAATTCCTGGTATGTCAATGAATTTGAGTATTGATTTGCAACTATGAGTAGTGTTTCATGACTTATTATTATACACATGAGGAGAACGAAGGCGTTCATTATTTTAGGTAGCCTTCAGAGTATTTAGATATATTTGTTCCCTTCTTGTTACCCATGTTGTTGCTTGTGCCCTTTTATTGTTTATTTAGCCACATTACGAGCCTATATGAGCCCATTGGTTACTAGTCCCAAGCTTGGCTTGGGGGAGCTGTTAGTTGGTGAGGTGAGGGAGTTGTGGTGTGCACATTATTTGCACAGTGTGGGAATAAAAGAAGAGTGATTGTTCTTTGATTTTTTATTGGAAAATATTGATGTTGTGTTTCAAAGTTGAAATTTTCAATATGAGTTAAAAAGAAAAAAAAGAGCAAAAGAAAAAAAATTAATGCTCAAGTGTTCTATTTGAAGGTTGTTCAAGAAATAAAAAATAATAATAAAAAAAAAATCAAGTTTGAAAAAGAGAAAAAAAAGAATGAGTTTAAAGTTTGTATTTCACTCGAGTTCCACATTATCATATTTTTATGAGTGAATTTTGTAAGTGTTGGGATTGTTTATGATGATTGGAGTTGTATTTGGTGGTTTTTGTTGGAGTTAGTTATGTTGTTGGAGATGTATGATCATCATTTATTTTTGATCATGGGTTTATTAGGATTTGGCTCCCTTAATGCATAGCTTTTCTCTCACGTACTCCCAAATTTATCCTACCCTTTACCCTAGCCTTACATTACAAGCTTTAAAGACCTTCCGTGCATATAGAAGTTGTGTAAATGTGAAAGTGTTGTTTTATCAATGCAAGTTATGACTTGACATATTTCGAGTCGACTAGTAGGTTGAGCGTACATTGTTCTTATACACACGAGAGTGTGAGTTGGGAGGGCATCGTTCACATTAAAGGGGTTGGTTGGAGAGTGATTGTGTACATCTTTTACTCGCCACATAAATGAGAGTTGAGTGTGTGAGCACTAGTCTTGAATTCTATATGCTCTTGTGGTTTGCTCTATTTGAAAATTGTTAGGGAAGATTGGTAGTTGGATGGATTTGATTGGTTGACTTTGATACATGTTTGTCAGATTTACCTTGAATTATATTTATTGTTTTTAAATTATTTTTGGGGTGAAGTTTGATTTATTTATTCATTGCTTTGTTTAGGGACAAGCAAAGGTTTGACTTGGGGGAGTTTGATAAGTCTATTTTATGTATATATTTATTCCCTGTCTCATGGTTATATTTGTGCTTATTTGAGCTATACAGAGCTATTTTTATTACTAATATACGTTTTCTAGTGTTTTTATAGAGTTGGTATTATTTTGTAGGAATTTGCAGATTTATGATAATTCCCGAGCTTATTGAGTCACTACAAAGTCATTGGAGTTTGATCGTATTTATGACCGTTCATATGAAGCCCAAAACCGAGTTAAAGGAATTTAATCCGGTGATTAAGGGCTCGATATATAAAGAGGTTCAAAATTTCCCCCACAAATTACGGACCAAACAAGAGAAAAAATGGGCAACAAAAGAAGCACAAAGCCCAGCTCGCAGCTCCAAGCAATCGGGCCCGATCACTTAAATAAATTAGCAGTTGGACGCGCTTTTTCCTTGGGCTTTACTTCAACTATTCTTTAAGTCGGTTTGCGGCTCTAGTGGGCTCCTAATTCGGCAGCTTTGATAGTGGAATTAGAGTTTGACTTAGAATCAAACTCCTTTTCCTATAAAAGGAGGTAGTACGTACTACGTAGGGTGGCTGGGAGATTAATTAGTTTTTAGTTTCCTTTTTATTAGTTTTAGTTTTGTTTTTTTTATTAGTTTTAGTTTTAGTTTTGTTTTCTTTTCTCTCTCTAACTTTTCTCTCTCTCCCTTAATTAAACTCTTAGTATTATTTTCTCTCTTGTTTTCTCTCTCTACAACTTGGGTTTAATCTCAGTTATTTATTTTCTTTCTTTCATCATATCTCCTTTAATTGCTTTGATTAGTTTAGATTTAATTATGTGTGATTAGTTTTATTTCTAGGGTTTGTAGGGATCCATAAATAATATGAAGGGGTAATTTGTTGTTGTTGATTATCAATGCTAGATTAATTTCCTATTGATTGATTTAATGCTATGTGACTAGATTTGCACAGATCTTTTCTGCATGAGTTTAACAATATTGATTCGAGATTCGACAGATGAGAATTGATGTTTTAGGTCTAGTTTCAATAGGCAGGTTAATTTATAAATGGTTAAGTCGAGATTCAACAGATGAGATTTAATACCGGTAAATTAATTGTGTGATTGTAATACGTAGCGAAAGCCCTTTATGATCTGATTAATGTATGCATTGATGATTGATTATTATGTTTTACCCTGGAATATTATTTATTGGTGAACCTATACCCTAGGTCTTTTATTCATTGTTACTCCTCCTACTTTTATTGTTTCCCACTTTTACTCTTATTAGTTTAGTTTCCTTCGATTATTATATTTTGGTTACTTTATAATCTAGATTATATTAATTAATTAGGAATAGAAAGACTCGGTTCTCTGTGGATTCGACCCTACTACCCTATCTACATTAGTTAGAGGATTTAGGAATTATTTTTGATTAAGGAATACGACTTTACCTTATCAGTCATTCAAATGAGGTGCTGAAAAGCTGCAAGGAATGGTGAAATGTTTTAATGTATTAATTACAGGGGTATGACGACAAAATGAAGAGTCTAAGAAACATAGGATACAATTGATAAAGAACAAAGTATAGAATGTGAAGTCCTTAACAGTTTTTTTTTCCTCCTGTAATGATGGAAACAACAAGAACTTGATGGTTTTTCTTTTTTTTTTAAAAAAAACTCGTTCTTCAGCTTCTCCTCCTCCACAAGAGATGGAAACAAAATAAAAAATAATAATAATAATAGTAGGGGGGGGGGGCTTTATAACTTTTCTAATTATGTTTCATTATCCACATTTAATACAATTGATTCTCCCATAAAACAGATTGCTCAATGATTTCAACCAAATCAATTTGAAAGAGTGGGATCATGGAAAGGTTAAACGAGGTAGAGGGAGACCGAAAATCACTTGGTTAGGAGTTAGGAAGGTTTTTGTGGATTACTATACGGAATAATCACTTTTCGTTCATGTAGCCGACCACACTTACAAGATGAAGACTTTGATTGATTGAATGCGTTGAAACCCCTAACCATCCATATTGAAAATAAATACATGTTTGCCTAACTATTTCCAAAGAGAGTTACCAAAGATATAAATGCAATTCCTACAAACTCTTTTTTGGCCAAAAGGAAAATTGAAATCAAACAATAGAACATAGGGTTGAAAAAATTGCAGAATTGGAGCCAAGGGGCCATTATACGATCTTTTCAAGGTTGTAGCATCATATGACTCATATCTACAATCTTCGGCAGTTAAGAAGTCTTTTTAGTAGGACATTGCAGAGGGCATTTACCATTTCCAGCCTTTTTTCTACCTTTAACCAGAGAACTAGAGCAGAGAAGCAGAAAATACTTTATCATTTTTGTGCAAAAGGAGGGAGGTTGTGTTATTGGTCAAAAATAAAGATTATGGGTAAGGAAAACATTACTCATCTTTTGAAACCTTTTACTATGTACCTTTCATAAACCTTTTATCTTTACTTCACATTTTAAAATTTTGAATAATTCTACCAAAACTGCTTTCAGAAGGAAAGAGCATCTTTAATCAGTGGATTTAATGAATGAAAGTTATTCACTTCTCAAAAATTTCAACATAACAACTACTCCCTCCGTTTTATATTTTTCTTCCCACTTTGACCAATTTTTGTCTCACAAAAAGATTCTAAGTGAGAAGGACAATATGAAACTGATGGAATACTAATTACAAAAGTTGACTATAATCAATGTTCTCAGATGGAGATGATACTCATGCTATACTGCAGTGCTGAATACAATCTTAATGAAACCTGGTCGAATAACTAAGATGATGAGTTTTAGAATAATAAAGATCATGGCCAATGAGGTTTTAAGCTAACTCCCTCTAAACCCATACTAAACCATGTTGATGTCATTCCAAGTGATATTGAGACCAACAAGAATGCTGAATACATAATGAAGAATAGATCAATGGCAAATATCTTACAGCACGAATTAGCAGCTAATCTAATACCAACAAACCCCGTCCCCTGGCCCTTCCGTTCATACCCAACTACAATTCTACAAATGGGATAATTAGAGCATTAAGCAGCACATATGGTAGAATACAACTTATACTATACAAAAGAAAGTAAAACTCATTTCAAAATTTGATGAGACTACTTCAAGGTTATGTTTTAGAACATGTATCCAATTTCAATTCCAGATATAATGTTAGGCAAACACTAGGCTATTCAAGAGTTTCAAATTCCATCTTAATATTTGGGAATTGAGTGGAATTTAAAATTTTGGAATTAATATCTTCAACTATGTATATAATTATTTGATTGGTCAGAGTCCCTAACTCTAATGTCAATAAACAATTCAAACCTTAACTAGATTCCCCAAAATTTAAATTTTTTTCTGATTTGAAAAGGCGGCCACTGCAGGCCTGCAGCCACCATCACCTCCGCCATTGATGGAATTTCTGAACTTAAGATCTTCCTTCCCAGCTTCAACAAATTTTTCGAACCTTGGCGATTTTCTGAATGATATTGTGGTGTTCTTTTGGTTGGATTTATTTTTAATAACTATGGATTGAAGACTGGAATAGGAAAGAAATGATTAAGGGATAATATCAAGAAGAGAATCCAGGATAGAAAAGAAGCAATATGGTTGGACTAGTGACAAAGATGCAGCCTTGAAATTGAGCTGAGACTAAGCTTTAATGGCTGAAAGGCAGAGAGAACGAGAGAGAGGTGAGAAAAAAAATTGCCGGGCCTTTTTGGAATTTGAATCTTGATACCTTGAGATGTCAATTCATCTAGGACAACTCCAAATATCCAAACATCACATTTGAAGATTGTTTAAGGCCATACTAAAGTAATTCTAACCCACTTTCCAGGTTAAGACAGGTAACTTATGAGAGGTAGAGGGAGAAAACTTACCACATGAAGATTGTTTATGCATCTGTTATTCCCTTGTACCCCTCCTTTTCCAGGACTGATGCGAGAGAAATGTCTCCTGTCTTCACAATTCTTCCATTTTCCTGAGTAAAACCATGAATCCATGTCTAGAAGGTTAGTATTCACAAATATTAATTCAAAGCCCACTAAATTTTATTTTTTTTTGGATGTGTGTGTGTGTTTTTTTTTTTTTTTTTTTTTTTTTTTTGGGGGGGGGGGGGGGGGGGGGGGGGGGGGGGGTCACTGCTGACCAAAATGAAAACAAAAAAACCTTTGGGAAAATAACCGTATCCCTAAACTCATCAACTTGGAAACATCCCCTCCCCACAATTGATTTAACTTTTGAATTATTATAATAATAACAACTAGCCATTCTCCAGATATAGCATACACAGAATTCCATAAACAAATCAAGGGTCAAACAGCCATACAGATAATTTTTCAATGAGAAGAAAACATAATTAACTAAAACAGAAGCTTCAAGAAATACTTTCATTTCTCATAACAGCACCACAGTCTCATTAGTAGATTCTGAGCATAGCATAACTATGTTATATGATTAGAGTAATCTTGATGGAAGAGGAGCAAAACAAGTTTATCACCGAAAGAAAAGGGAAAAAAAAAAAAAAAGCAAGCATGAGAATAAGAAAGCTACAAAAGTGGGTATCAACTGGGTTCTATTGGTTGGAAAAGGAGGAGATGCCTGCACTGCTTTTGCACAAAGTTGAAGGCATTGAAATGGTGAAGTAAAAAGCTGTTCAAGGGAATATTAGTCCATATGGTCATAATCTGAGTAAGATTTTATAGGAGAAGATATTTCTCCTTGTAACAAACCTTGATTTACCCAGATCAACCAGTGAAAGGTTTTGCAATGTATCCTCTTTAAACACAGCCAGAAAAAGGACCTCAATTTTCTAACTCATTCTTATTACATTGGGAAGCAGAGGGTGGGGTTTTAAATGATTGGAACAATAAACGCGACAAGAAAAGTAAATTAGAATTGGCCCACATAGGTAACAATTTTCAGATTTAAAATTCTTTATTTGGTGCTGTATATTGATTACTGTATTTAGATGGTAAACGAACCAATTTGGAGATTTAAGCTATGGAGTTGCCACTTGCCAGTACATTCATGAAGACCAATATCTATCCAAAACCTAGGGCAGGCACAGTACTAGGTTTAACGTGTGGCTGCGCACAGTTATAATCATAGGCACAGTCATGCTACTTTGTTTGGCATTAGCCTGGTAAATGCCCATAAAGCCCAAGGCTTTGATAGTTGACTTTCTTTATCAAGCACTTACAGCCAAGTTATCTATATCAGATTTAATCACAAGCTATCTTGAAGAATGTTGCAGTTTAAAAACAACCAACTTCATACTGGCTACAAGAAGCTTGACTTATGAGAGGATAATAATCGTTGAGACATAGTTTTTTTAAAAGTGTATACAGAAATTTGCAAGTCTTATTGAAGGAACACCGGAGGAGGAGGTGTCGACTTTGAAGGTGGTGGTCAGAGGTTGCAGTGACATTGAAGGTGGTGGTCGTATCGTGGAACATGAATATAGATGGAAGTTGAATGATTTTTTGAATTTAGGTTGATTGTTGATTGAATTTAGGTTTGGGAAAATAAATTGGGTGAGATTAATGATGTTAATTAAGTTAGATTAGTATTTTAATGAGTTCTATTTAGTTAGCTAATTGTGTTTATGAAATCTTTAGCAAGGGTACTTTTGTAATTTCATTTTAAAAAACTTGCTAAAAAGGAAACAAATGGAAAATTGCAACAAAAGTACACCAGCCCGCTTTGGCAAAAGTTGCAAATAATATGTAATGGAGGTAGTATATCAGGCATTCATACTGGTCATTCTTCCTACAGCCATGGGAAAAAAGAATAAAACAACTGAATTCGCTGATTAACGGCCTTTCCTCTTTTTATACTTGTATTTGAAAAGTCAGGTAAAGGGTGGTCTCATATGTGCACGCCTTTTCCCTCTACTATATTTCTGCTTCAATGTAGTGTAAGCTCACTAATTGTAAGTGCTGTAGGAATAAGATGACTTGGCCAATAACAAATTTGGAACAATTACAGGATGACTATGTGAGTTTAGACTGCACTAGGTGGATAGCATTTTTCCATGAACTGATTCTTTTCCTACATTCATGAGTATCTGCATAGTGAAGACCGATAGGACCTTTGAAGGTTGTCCCTATAATTCTAATAAGAGAGGACAGTGTTTTTAGCTTTTCTTTCAGCTTATAGAAAGAGGGCCTTTCCAAGCATGGGCATATCAGATATTCGGACTCTTTTATCCCCTTAACTTGACTATATGGTGGACTTGTTATCCCCCTTTATCATCTTTCAACCGTTACTTAAAATTTCATCATCTTAAAATTAAATTATTATTTTTAAAAAAATTATATAATTCAAGAAACCAGAAAGCTAAGGGCTTGTTTGGCATCATTTTTGGTTTTTAGTTTCCTGTTTTTTTGAAAACTAAAAACCAAAAACAAGAAACAAAAAAAAAGGTGTTTCCACTTTTTTGTTGTCAGTTTTCAAAATTATTATGATTTTATAAGTTTAAATAATTTTTTATTCATTATGTGACATATATCATATATTTTTAAACAACAAAAAACAGAAAACTACAGCAATGCCAAATGAAACCTAACTTTCTAACTTCTAAGTAAAGATATATCATCTATATAGAGTCAAATTCAAAAAGGCAGCTATCATTAGCTAATTTACTTACCATGATATGAATATAAGCAGGCTTTATAAAATCCAGAAGACGCTGATAGTGAGTGATCATCAACACAGCGTTATTTGGTGTCAAAAGATCATTTACTGCTCTTGCTACATCTTGAAGTGCATCAACGTCTAGCCCAGAGTCAATTTCGTCTAGTATAGCCAAGTCAGCCCCCAAAACCTGCAGTTTACAGATGCAACTACCGGATTCAGGAATCCAAAATAAGGGGCCGGTTTAGTAAGTATCTAGGTTCTAGCCTCAGCTTCAATTTACATAAAAGAAATAATGAATTAGCATTCAAAGAAGAGAACGACACAAAATTGTTCTCTGCTACACAAAAAGCATTTCTTGAGATTTATTCATTCACCTAAAATTATTTAATTGCACTCTACACCTTCACTGTTTTGAAATTCAAATATCATTACCACATTGGTCACTAGGGAGGAAAATTGAAAATTACAAAAGACAAAATCAACTGGTTAAGATCAAATTATTAAAAGCATCCCCCTAAAAGAACAGGAAACAAAATACATCCCTCACCCTAAAGTAGGACATACCGCAAGCTGTAAAATCTCATTACGCTTCCTTTCTCCACCACTAAATCCTTCATTAACATTTCTATTCAGAAAATCCATCTTCATGTTCACCTGATCAAGCTTGCTATATACATGGCTAAAGAACTGCATAGAATTAAAAAAAAAAAAAAATAAAAAAAAAAAAAAAAAAAAAAAATAATTAATAAGTTAGAGCTTCACATCATTTTTTCTCTTTCTTGATTTTTTAAAAAGAAATATGTTTTGCCAATATAATTAAACAGAGATCAACATACATTCCCATCAGTTATAGACTGCACATTTCCACTGTCACTGTTAAACAAGCCAAAGCTATGACCTTTATGGCTTTACAGCATGCAAGATAATCAACAATAAACATCCAGAAAAAATTTAAGGATCAACACATTAGAAAGATTGACAGATCATTCTCTGAGATATACATGTCTAACATGATTCAAAGATGGCGAAAGATGGGAATTCATTATAGCAATAATATTTAAAATACAAAAGTGATACCTCTATAGGACCCAGTTCTGGAAGTCCAAGTTTTCTTTGTCGAGCATTATATGCCATATTCAAAAAATCTGCATTGCTCACTCCAGGAATCGCAACTGGTGACTGGAAGCTCATAAAAATACCTGAAAGGGACCTTTCTTCTGGGTCCATCTCAAGTAGGTCTTGACCTTTGAAAATCGCAGTCCCTCCAGTAACTTCATAATCTGGATGACCTACAAGAACCTAGAAGATAATAATTTATAAACATATAAATTAAAAATCTCAAATAAACTAAAATATTGTATAAGACACAGACTTGTCAAGTTGAAAGACAGATTGGGTTTTCAACTTCAAGTCAAAGATGCAAAAGATAAATGAAATTACATTCTGCCAGTTAGATACTTTATTGATTATTGATGACAAAAACAAACCTTTGAGAATGTACTCTTCCCAGAACCATTCTTCCCCATGATTGCATGGACCTGCAAGCAATAACGCAGCATAAGACATGACTATCATCACTAATTCATTGTTTAGATCTGTACCAGTAGTATATTTAACTATTTAAGCAGGATCCCTTACATGTCTCAAAAAAAAAAAAAAAAAAAAAAAAAAAGAGACTAACAACTCAACAAATTTCCTAAGTTATACAAAAGTTGGTAGCAATTCAATGCCCATGCCACTTCATCATTCCCTTATCCAGAAACAAGTCACAAGCTACTTATGACAAAGTAAGCTCAAAAGAAACTACCACAAACAAAAAGTTACTTGTATCAAATTAAATACTCCCGCCATTTTATTTTTATTTTTTATGTTCTATTCACTTACTGCCTTACTAGAGACTCTTGTTTTTAGGAAACTTTGGGGAAAAAAAAGTGAAATAAGAGTGATGAGTAAATAGGTTACAATATTATGATTAACTGACAAAAGGCATATTGGATAAGAGGGTGGAGGGGAAGGGGAAGCTTCCACATAAAACTACCAGATGAAACTTAAGTGAAAATGAAGCCCTAAATCATCTATAGAGAGTGACACAGCCCTTGACTAGCAAATTTTATTACCCAACATTGTCGAGGCGCACTTTCGCATGCAAGGAACACCCCTTTTAGTCTATTACCCTACTTCTAATTGATGCAATCACCTCATTATACAACAATACACCCTCTTCTCCTCTCCTCAACCCCAACCTGTAAAGTAAACAACATCCTGTTCATCTTATATCTTTCAACAACGTAAATAAATCCTGCTCAAATTTCATCTCTATAGTTCCACTAATTAAGTACACTAACCAATGAAAAACCGAAGCTAGTATATTCCAATAATTTCAACATTCCTATAAATTAATACTTCATATATCAATCAGCAACACAAAAAATTTGCACATAACTACAATATAAATTCAATCATCATACGTATTAAGGGTATTAATTAAACATGAGATAAATTGCATTCCAATTATGTTACAGTAAAAATATTAACAAACAATCATAATAGAAATTCAATCAACTTCATTCGAAATTCAATTCAAGAAAAACAACTAAAATAAAGACAAACCTCTCCTTCATAAACAGTAAGATTAACACCATTGAGAATCTTTTGCTGAGATTCAGTAATAACAGCGGTCAGATCCTTAACTTCAAGAAGAAGCTTCTTCCCGTCCTTCTCCTTGGTATACGAAGTCGGAGAGTCAACGGCAACTGCTTTGGCAACCACCGGAAAACGGTGGAGGGAGCTCTGGTAGGTCGCACAGTGGGATTGGGGTATACGAATGGAAGAAAGTGGACGTAGTCTAAGGATTGGCAAAGTTTTTGTGCGGAAAGTAGGGTGAGAGAAGAGATTTGATGGGTTTAGGGGGGAGGAGGTAGAGCAATGAGCCATCGTTGATGTTGTTATTCCTGCAGCTCCTCCAGTCCACATCTATTAAGAAGAGGAAGGGAAGGTTAGAGGAGAAATACTCAATTAGTATATGATACTCCTGGAGTACCTAATATTGTACTCCAGGCCCAACCTAAATTAATGGGCTAAAACCCAACTAAAAGAAACGCATACGAAATTTTATTTTACGAAATAACAAATAAAGTAAATAAAATAACTTAAATTGTATATAAAAAAGATAGACTCAAAATGTCAAAATCAAACCATTTTATTTATCTCTCCACTCACTTTTCTTTTTTTCTCTCTCAGTTTGAAATTACAGTTTCTCCAATTGAAATGGAGCGAAAAATCTTCAATTGCATGTCTGCAAAATATTGAAGACAAAATTCCTACTCAAGCAAGCCCAAAACTAACATAAATTAATACTTGAAGTAAGTTTTTAAATAATTGTAAATTATTTTGCTAATTAGCTTTGAATTTGTGATAATTTTTGTATTTTTAAAAATTTAATATGCAATTAATACATGGAGATATGATGTAGTAGATGAAAATGAAAAAGGAGATAAACAAATTTCGCTTCTACATTTTGATTTTTGGCTACTGTTATCTCAAGATAATATTACTGTTCTTTAGATCTTATGTTATTTTGTGTTTAATTTGTGTTATTTTAGTTTTTGAAAGTAGTGGTGGGGAATGTTATTTTGTAATTTAAATGAAATTATTTTACTTAAAACCTAATGTTATTTTGCTTCTTAGGCTTCTGTTATTCAATTGCGTTCTTGTGTTATTTTGTTAAAACCATGTGTTATTTTACAGTCACCATATGTTATTTTGATAAATATAATTATGTTACTAAATTTTTCGTGCCTACAATTGTGTTACTTTGTATATAATCTTATGTTATTCTTTCAATATTTTTATGTTATTCTGTACATTTAGTTTTATTCTACTGCTTTTGTTTGATTGTCTTCTTCGCACTTATCTCCTTCTTTAATCTGCCATCATTAATGGCATTCCAATATGCTTTTTGAGTTTCTCTCTCCTTTTTTTCCCCTTTCCCCATCTTAATTGACTGATTTAGGGTATTATAATCCTTAATTTTTATCAAATTTTCTCTCTTCTGTTCTCGTTTGGGGATATTTTTTTTTTAACAATTGTTAAGTTTTAATCCTGGAGTACCGTGAGCATAGTACTCCGGGAGTACAATAGAAATTGCGCAATGCAATAGCAAAAAAAAACCCCAAAATTTTGAGTAGTTAATCTGATTAAAAATAGGATAAAACTCAAATTAACCAAACAATAAATAGCAAAAAAAAAACCCTATATCAAACTCGAATTAATCATAACAAATCGAGCAAACTTAAGATTCAAATTAATTTAACTAAATCAAGCAAATTCAAAATTAAACTGATCTATACATACCTTAACGAAAAAGTGCGATGAATTGATGAGAAAAAGCGAAAAACTCAAAGAGCGAAGCAACAGAATAGCGAAGAAATGGAAGAGCGACTCTTAGAGAATTTGGAAGAAGAAAGAGGAAATCTAAAGAAGAGAGAGAAAGGAAAAAAAAAACGGAGGAAAAACCTAGGTAGTCATTCAAAGCGCAAATTTATCAAAATGCCGTTAATGAAATGAAAAAGGCAAGTGAGATTTATAGGTTCATATGTGAGAATTCATACTTATATGAAAACTGATCTATAATTTAGAACACGTGAGTAAAAATTTAGAACATGCGACTCAAATTTAAATTTAGAAATATGACTTATTGTAACACCCCAATAATTTTCTCTTGGAACCTGTAAATACCCTGAACAAAATCCAAGAGAATTACTGACATGCTACCGCCACGTGTTCAAACGTTAAGGCTTTATCAGAAAATAGAAGCGGAAAAACTAACTCATATATATAAATAAGTTTCAAAACCAACGAATGAAACCAAATTAAGTGTTACAAGTTGGAACCATTAAGGCCCTTATTCAAAACCCAAAAAAAGTAGCAAATAAATAAAACCAGAGTTAAATAAATTCAAACTTATGAAAAGAAATAAACTGCGAACAATAACAAACTCTCCACTCAAAATCCCACCACCTTGATGCAAGTCCAAACTATGTAAACATCTGTTATGAGTCTGCTCCCCAATATTACAAGTGTAAAGATTGGATCGTCACAGGGTCATTGAAAGGCGAAGACCATGACCAAAGAAAGACACACAAAGCACGCAATCAGCAAAGCTGAGTACATACAAGCTGCAAAACATAAAAGAAATCCTTAACATGCTACTAATAATCAATCATCACGCATCATTAGTTTATAGACTCGACACATGACTCAACTATTTATATTACTAAGACTCCATTAATTAATAATAGGTAAATCATTATTTTTATTCATTGGACTACGCAATAGACAAGGTTGTCCAACCCATGCTCCATTTGGAACATCAATAAAAGAAAAACCCCATGCCTCCTTTCGGAAACATCAATAAACATCCAACGACCACGGGCGCAACTCCGTGACCGTAGTTAGTATGAGATCTCACCTAACTCCTAATTTTGAAAAATATTTGAAATAAGAGACTCGTATATCAGACGGCCTCGAGAAAAGTACACGGCTAATACCCCGTGATGTGTCTATTTTATATAGTATTTTACCCCCGTCCCTTGGTCATAATTAGTAGTGTTTTTGCTCTTTAGAGCCACTTTTATTACTAATTGGTGTTTTCTAGTGTTTTCGTAGATTTGGTTGACTTTTGTAGGGATTTATACTTTTTGAGTATTTTTCCGAGATATTTTGGAGCAATCACGAACATTGGAGAAGCACGGCCAGATTTTATAGCCCAGGGCCGGTTAGAGCCATCAAACCGGTGATTAAGGGCTTGGTATGTGTGATACCGGGGCATTTGGACCGAGTATTCAAGACCCAAAGAGGAAACCCAGATTGGCCCGAAGAATTGGAGCCCAATCGTAGTCCAAATAGTGGCCCAAGAGAGTCGCCCGGCCAAAACGGCTGGCGCCCGGAGGCGCGCCCGGCCGGGCGAGAGAAGCAAAGGCTAGCGCCCGAAGGCGCGCCCGATCGGGCGGTGCCTCGCCCGATCGGGCGCGTGTATTTCTTAGGAGATGTTTAACATAGTTTTAATTTGTTTTAATTTAGGATTTTGTACGGAGTATAAATACTCCTCCGTAATACGATTTTAGGATCTCTTCTTCTTCTCCTCTTTACTCTTTCTTTACTCTCTTAATTATTCTCTTAGAATTCTCTCTCTAAACCTTTGTTCTTAATCTACTCTTAATTCCAGATTACTTTTTGGTAACGATTCCTCTTCTCTTAATCTTAGTTATTTATTCTATTCCTTTCATCATGTCTTATTTTATTGCTTTGATTTGTTTAGTTTTTAATATGTGTGAGTAGTTTAATTTCTAGGGTTTATGGTAATAAATAATATGAAGGGGTAAATTATTGTTGTTGATTATCAATGCTAGATTAATTTCCTATTGATTGATTTAATGCTCTGTGACTAGATTAGGCCTATCTTTTATGCATGAGTTTGACAATATTGATTCAAGATTCGAGAGATGAGAATTAATGTTTAGGTCTAGTTTCAATAGGCAGGTTAATTTATAAATGGTTAAGTCGAGATTCGAGAGATGAGATTTAATACCGGTAGATTAATTCTGTGATTGTAATACGTAGCGAAAGCCCTTTACAATCTGGTTAATTGATGCATTGATGATTGACTATTATTGATTATTGATATTGCATGATAATTTCCTATTGAATTGTTTTAATGTTTTACAATTGCGGCTTGTAAAAGTATAGCAATATTAAATTGATGAATCGAGCAGATGTTAATTTGATATTAAAGGCTATTTTCAATAAGAACTTAGATCTAGTAAATTGCGAGAGTCTGTTAGATCTATGTTGATTAATAAATTGCGAGAGCCTGTTAATCGTGTTATTTATGCAATGTCAATGATTGATTAATATGTTTTACCCTGGAGTATTATTTATTGGTGAACCTATGCCCTAGATCCTTTTATATATTGTTTTCTCCCTATTCATATTCTTTGTAGTTTAGTTTCATACTCAATTATAAATATTGGTTACTTAGATAATTTAGATTATAATGATTAATTAGGAGTAAAAAGACTTGTTTCCCTGTGGAGATCGACCCTACTTCCCTATCTAATTTAGTTAGAGGACTTAGGTATTTACTTTTGATTAGGGGATACGACTTTACCCTGTCACCCCGTGTACCCCAACCCCTGATTGTCATTACTCCAAAAGTGCATCAATCCATAATTTTATTGCTCATCCATCTTGCACTTTACGTGATTTACAGGTTTAGACCTGGTGATGACTCATATGCAAACAATACAATCAATCCAATATCAATTCAATCAAGTAAAAACAACTTTCCAATTTCAATTCTTGATTTATTAGTGGCAAGCAACATTTATTATTTATTCCTTTAACTACCACGGTGTATAAACACCTTGAGTGCATAAGGCACCCCAAAACCTTAACCTCGTCTTATAAGACTTGAATTCTTCCTTTACTCATCCTATTTCAATAATCATGAATGAGTAATAAATAGATCATTCCACATATTCACATACCTTTGCCTCTAAGCGCATCTTGCAAAGTTAATGCATAAATAATATTTACAAAGTAGAATAGTGCACATCATACGGAAATCACAATGTATAACCAAACAATTTAGCCCAGTCTTCTCTATACATGATACTAAGTTCTCGATACATCTCTAAACATGCATCTAAAGGCAAGGTTTCATAACTCGTACGTACCTTGAATAAACGAATTGGTATGCCACTTTACTATCTAGAAATCACCTTCAATAAAATCCTCTCCTAAACCAAACAATAACATCACAATCAATACCCAATCAATCAAATTTACAGCAATACTAACTTACATTAAAACCTTCAAAATCCAAATCAAATAACACTTTAAAACCTTCCCTTTAGTTAAAATTAAGGGCTTATATATAGTTCTTTAAATTTTCTTCATAAAAACCTTAAAATATACTCTTATACATGAAATTACAGCAAGTTTAAAGTTTAATAAAAATCTGAAAATTATTTTAAAACCCCTAATAATCACCCTTTTTAATGGGTGATAAAACCCTCTTTATAAAACATCAAAAGTAGTACTTAGAAACTATTTCCAGCACTTAAAACTTCAGTAAAAACATATATTTATGCTTAATTAACATTAAACATAATTAATTTTATTAATCAAACTCAAGGATAATATTTTAAGTATTAAAAAACTTCGTTAAAATCAAAAAGTGCCCGAAAATCATATTTAGAGGTTGAATTTGGCCACGATAAGGTGGTGCTCACTACCAAAGGTTCTGATTCTTTCTTAAAACGTTGTTTCCACATGGAAAACACTACTTTTTTTTTTTTTTTTTATCAAAATCGGATGAGTTCAGAACCTTGTCGGGATTAAAACGTGATTAATATTAATGAACGGAAATCTAAAAATTAAAACACGAATTACGTGTTCAAAATAATCTGGAATTAAATTAAACTAACCATTAGTTATAATCACCAAAACTTCAAAACATCATTACTATAAAAGCCCTAAATAAATTGTTCATAAAAACCCTAAAATTATGATTTTCAATAATTAAAAACCCTAGGTTATAAAATTTACAAAATCTGAAAATTATGACATTTATAAAATCTGGAATTATAAAATTTAATCATCAAAATACAACTTGATACTAATTAAATTAATTTCAAACAATAAAATCAAAACCCATAAATCAATAATTATAATTACACAAATTAATAAAACAAAGGAGAAAATAAGACTAACCTTTTTTGTGTGGGAAATTTTTGGGTATTTATGGGGTATTTATAGGAGAGAATTGTAGGGTAAATAGGAAGATTGAGCCTCATAAAAATAATGGGTCAATTAAGTAAGCAAATGGGTTAGACTTATTTGATTGGACATAAATTGTAGAATAAAGGTGCATAAAATAATTTGTACCAAAATAATTTTTGACACAAATTAATAATTTGAATATTTTGAAATTAAATTACGGAAAAATACAAATCAATATTATAAATAAAATTAAATTTCATTTATAACATATTAAAAAATACGGGTGATTACACTTATAATTTAGAACATATGACTAATAATTTTGAACATGTGTGTGAGCAATTATTTAAAACATCTGATTCAAGAATTAGAGCATGTGAGTAAAAATTTAAAAAATTTGCTTTATGAAATTTAGAACATCTGATTTAAAATTTAGAACATGTGAATAAAAAATTTAGAACACTTGGTATAAAATATAGAAAATGGGAGTAAAAATATTGAACATATAAGTAAAAATATAGAACATGCATGTGAGTAAAAATTGGAACATATGCTTTCGAATTTAGAACATATAACTAAAAATCTTAGAACACAGGCACATTTTAAAATTTAGAACATATAAGTTAAAATTTCGGAATAAGTCATTCGAAATTTATAACATCTAACTTAACTAATTTATGGTTTAGAACATGTGAGTCCTAATTTAGAACATCTGATTTAATTTAGAACACCTGAGAAAAAGTTTAGAACATCAGATTTAAAATTTAGAACATA